GGGGGTGGGGAGGCGGGTCGTGCATGAGAGCCAGTATAACAAAGGCAAATATAGTAAATATATTAAGTGTAAAAAAGTGTTTGGCAGTTCATTCTGAAATTCCTTGAGGGGTTTCCCGGAGGATAGCTAACAAATGACCTGCAGAGATGAATTACACGAGGAGTCCGAACAACCAAAAAAAGCCTATCTTGTGAATGATTTCTGGCATTTTGTGCCTCTTTGCTGGCTAATCTAGAGGGAGCCTCCTTATCAATGACACGGAGCAGGCGTGGCATTTGAGTATGGCACAGAAGAGTTACTCGTCGTATATTTTGGTATGAGAACACTGTCATCTTGTTCTGTTCTCGACAGCAACACGATCGCACTTTTTTCAAAATGAGGATGTCTATCCGAAGGCCCCGTTCAGATGAAGCCACGTCTACCACACTTCAGAGATTTCGAGTCTATGTAGGAGTTGAGACGAGCAAGTCCTAAATATAGCTATGTATAAGGATAGCACAGTGGGCCTTGCACTCAGTGGCACTGACAGAGCGCCCTTATTCTGATGGTATGACTGTGAACTTGCTACTTACTTCCTGGGCACAGAAGGCACCATATCAGAGGCATTTCCATGCTGGAGTAATGTTGGAGGCCACCGATTATGTTCCGAAATATACAGATCCCATATTTGGTCAGTGTCCAACTTGATTTTTTCCGTGAGTTTTTATATCGCAATTGCCTTAATGCCATGTTCATGGCGCACTTTGCGGAGGGGAGGGGGTGGGGTGGTGAATAGCAAATCTGAATCCAAGAACTTATTTCTCAACAGCAAATACGACCCCCTACAGTAACCAAATATTACCCTCCTGTCGTGGATTCCACAGCGATGATGTATACACACTAGTATCCCGGAACCGCTGCAAACATTACCTAGTCAAGGCAGCTTAGGCGTATTTCACAAACTGCAGTCTCAAGAACGGACATCGCAGAGCAACAACATCAGGTCTTCTTAGCTACTTAAGCTTACTAGCAAGATGGCGTCTTCTTGTCTGCGGCTCAATCCGCTTAACCATCTTTTTCTATCGGGATTTCCACGGATCGTGTGCGATGGGAGCTGCCATGAAAAACAATTGCTTTCGTGCGTGTGTCTATTGGTCTGGTTACCAAGCAGCGTGGTCAGTTTTGGTTGCGAGCGAGCGGCGTGACGTGAGAGGGAAAACGAGGAGGTTGGACGAGGACCGGGCTGTGACCCCGATTGATCAGTCCAAATAGATGCAGACCCTTGTCGTGCACGTTGTCCGTGAGTTTCACTTTTAATTGGTTTTTATTACGAGTTACAAGCATTTCTGGTTTCCATGTGCTGTTCTAGTCTGAAGGTGCGAAGAGGACGTCATATGAGTCGGAGTGAAGAGTATGTTGAAAGTGACCGTAGTAGTTCAAGTGTATGAGAGCCATCGGTCTAACTGCATTCCTGTTGTGTACGCTTCATTTCACATGGGAACTTTTCGGACGCGCTTGACTGACCTATGAGTGACTTTAAGTCCTCCTGAAAAAACCTGTCAAGTTCCCAAAAATACGACGAGCGCGACAAAGGGACTACAACATTATCAGAGCCGTTTCATCCTCCATTAGGGTGATTTTAACTTCCATCGTTTGCTTCCATTTCTCCTTGCTCTTTCCGTATTTTGATGTGGCTAATGATTCAGGTGCATTACGTACCATGCGATTACCTTGGTACAATAGGTGACCGGAAATAGAGCGTTGCCGTTGGTCCTTGGTGGCGGATCAACGGCAACGCTCTATTTCTGGTCCTCTATTGTATTCCATATGTTGAAGGCATTGCAATCAATTTGCCCCATTTTCCGACGTTATGTAAAGCGGTAAACATTCCCATGAGAATACGAAAGACACGAATCAGTAGTTGCAATATGTCTCTAAGTTCGATTTTATTAAAACCGTAGGTTCGGACTTTGGCGGTGTTCTCTTCCTAAAAAAGGAAGAAAACTTGTGTTTTTGTACTTTGCAGTACTGTTTTGATCGATAACTTTGTCAATTCTAGTTTCATTGGTGGCGGCTGTATCGTGTGATGATGTGTTGCGTCCAGCAGCAATTATACCTTGGTCACAATACCAACGTCGATTAAAGCAAATAGAGGACATTTCAGGACCGTATTATTCAGAGGTCAGACCGCAGAGCGTGGATCCTTGGCTAACTGGACCAATGCAGGTCCTCTTTTCAGGTGCCAGAAAAGCGACCATTACATCGCCAATCGTCCGGCACTAGTGGCAGATGGCAAGGCACCGACAGAGAGCATTTAGGGCTCAGAAAATTGGACAGGTTGGAGACAAAGTGAGAAATTATGATTATATTCCTTGGACTATTTCGTCTGTTCTGAGGAAAAGGGGATAAACCAATGTATCTCAAGATGGTGTGCAGGACACGTTCTGCGCCGTTGGAGAAAAAAAATTGCGAAATACGACCCCTTCAGGAAATCCCTTCTCCTAACACAATCCTCCCCCTTCTCATTTCCGTATTCTAACTCCTTCTCGAAGGGCATCTAGAAAATACGACGTGCACAAGTGGTGGATGGAATTGACAAATTGAAATCCAACTGATTTCAATCGTTTCGTCACCACCTTCTTAAACCTCTGAAAAGGACCTGTATAAAAGCTCAGGTTATCTGAAAAAACCTCAGCAGCGCCAGCGAGTTCGGTGAAGGGGGATGGGTTACCCAGCAGCGCTCCTGAATCCCTCCTTCCCGTAATCAAGAACTAGACTTAGAGCGCAGATGACATCAGTGGTCGAGGAATAGACCCGCTGAAAAGAAAAATACTTCTTTGAGCATAACCTTGGTTGAAGGGAGTGACACAGGAGCGCTGCTAAGTGCTCCCTCCCCCTGATCTACTTTAGCGATTGTTGATAACTATAGGTTTTTGGAAAGAAGCCAATTAAAACTGCGCTTACTCTGTACTGCCGCTCCGGTACCTGAATTCAAGCCAGATTTTGGTCGGGCTTTCTCCGCGACGGCAGATTCGGATAGAATCCTCGTCATGTAGTGATTCAAACTCCCTGAGTACGAATATGGCAAAAAACAGCACAAATAGAGCCCGTGCCACAGACGCCGACGCTGCGGGGAAAGCTTCGACGCTAGCTCCATAGCAGGGCACATCATTGGTTGGGGATTTTAATCGAGTCTGTACGACCCTCCCTTTTTTTGGGGGAGGGGGTTGGTACGACCCCCCCCCCTCCGGCCCTCTGTCCCTCCTCATCGACCCCCCCTCCCAACAATGACCAAGTACGACCCCCCCCCCACAACGTCCGTGAAGCGAGAAAAATCAACTATCAAAATAAATTTTCCCAGCCCAAATACGACCCCCCTCTCCTGGCGGCCAAATACGACTCCCCAAAAGGATACGTTTTCATAACATCGGTGGTTCGAGACATTTTGGAGACGGTGTCCGACGTGCGGGCACCAAGCGCTCCTGCGCAAGCCAAATGTAATATTCTCTTGAGTGAGTACTCTCAGAAGAAGGTTTAGCCAAGTCCACCCGCAGGGAAATCGATCAAAATCTAGCCTGATGTTTTGAAAGTAGGGCAGTGAAGGTCAAGCAGTCTCAATAAATTCCAAGAATGGTCCGAAAACACAGAAGTGGTCTGTAGTTGTGAAAGTGCCTTTTGCTGTAATATACTGCCCTTGCGGTTGATAGTTTTGGGAATCTCCTTGCTCACCGTTTTGTAAGCGAGCAAGCGTATTGGAGCAGTGCTTGGTTATTCGTATAGGCTCTTCTAGAGTACGTAAGCTGTACCGCAGTGTTTTTGTTAAGTGCTATGTATTCAATCCTCGCCCGGTGTCCATACCGCGGAGCGGAAACCAGATACTACTACGTATGGTTACGTAATTGGTGCCAATTTGTCATACTCAGCAGGTTTATGGCATAGAAATCGACGAGCGTTTAACTGTTTAGCCTGTGGTTATGCAACTCTGGGCCATAGCTCTCGAAGATAGCAATTAAACTGCCATAATTACCATGTAAATGTGGGTTCCTGAGTCCGTTATAGCATGTTCCAATTTAGCATTGCCATTTTTGTGACACTGGACGGTTTAAAGGAGGAGTCGCTGGGATTACCAAATGAAAAGGGCAGCCGGCACCATTTTGGGGCACGCCACGCATTCCACTTACATTCAGAACCGTGCTTTTTTTGCCTTGCTTGCGATGCGGGATATAAGCCAGGAACGTGCCCCGGATGTGGGGAAGCGTGGCTCTATACTTTATTCAAACATGGTGTAGGACACGTTTTTCGTGGTATATTTCCATTTTTGACAGTTTCAAGTTTCCTCTGCTGGACAAGGACATGGCTACAAGTGCCAGTAATGAGAACGTCTCACTAAAAGCGCAGCCGCCGCACTCAATGGAAGTGCGGCTACGCCCTCCCCACTTCCGAGATATGATTTGTATGTATTACTGGATTTGTTTACCTAAGCGATAGCCGTTCCTAACCCTCAGCCCACGAGCGTGACAAGCAGCGTAACTTGTCACTTCACTGCCTTCGCCTCATCGGAATCATACCATCCTCATGGAAATTTGGAAAGCAGAGCTATTGTCGCACAGAGTGATCTTTGATGAAGGAAGTATTTGCCCTTCCGTTAACCTGGATCGTTGTCTACTGTTTAGCCTTTGCCTAGCTGATCCGGACGGAATCGGACGTTACTTATACGCGAAATCCCTGAGATGTGGTAGGCGTGGCTGCGTACTTCAACCAAACGTGGCGGTAGCTGTGCTTTGGTGAGATATTTTTATTTTGACACAACTGTGGTCGTGTCTCTGTAGAACACAGAACAAGATGGCAGTTGTTTCGAACTGGAGTATTCTACGAGTAACTCATTTTACGCCGTGTTCACATGCCACGCCTACTCCGTCTCAGGGATAACAAGTGTAATTGCGGCGCGACTTAGTCACGTGCTGTTACTCGCGGTAAATTTAAGTTTCTCGGCGAGAACCGGGGACTAATACACGTCAAAAATGACGTCACATTCAACTGATGGGGAGTTATTGCTGTGCATATGATTACATGTTCGCTGCGGACGATAAGGCGTGTCAAGAGGACGGTTTTGGCACGGCGCCAGCCAGTTTTCCTTTTTTTCTTTGGGCAAGCGATAAGAGAGTATCATGCCGCCCGTACCAGTCGTTTTCCACCGATTGCTGCCGCTTACTCAACTATTAGACCGGGCTGGCGACGCGCCAAACCCGCTTCAATGACCGCCCCATCGTCCACAGCGAACAAGGCTGTGTATCATACTCTGCGCCATGAATTTTTTTTAACGCCCCAAAAAAGATTTTTTTTTCAGCACTCGACCAAGGCCCGTGATACGACCACAACTGCGGCATCGCGCTCCAGCGGATAACGATGCTTCTCGAAAGAATCGTTTGGAATATCAGCAGTTCCTGCGGAAAAAGGAGTTGCTATCACCAAAGCCCTATCGTATGCATCATCTATCCGCTGATGTCACAGCTACAAAAGAACTAGGCCAGCCTTCGGCGATCTATACAGTCACGATACCCAATGGAGTACCCGTTCATGCTGGTACATGGGAAGATGGTCGGCCTCACTACGAAGTTCCGAAGCGACCACAGCAACTCGCTGCTGCTACATTAGGTTCAATAAATTCACCGCTGGCACCATCAGCTCAAAGCGTCCCCGGAGCGCAAGCATTCGGCACAGGAACCAGGGCTATTGAAGAAAATCTTGTGAATGCGATTTTTGCGCAGAGTAAAGCGGGAGCGCTCAACCCAAGCGCAGCCGCTCATGTTCCCCAGGTAAGGTATCGAACTAGGTTGAACTCAGTGATATGGTGTATTCAATTAAAGTCTTCTGATTCTTTCAGGCAGCCGCCTCTGCTGCAGCGCAGGCAGCGCAGTCAGCATCGGCAGCCCCGAATCCACTGGAAGCCTTACTGTCCAACAGCGCATCAATAGATCAATTCACAAAAATCGCTGAGAACATCCTGAACTTTGGTGGAGGAGAGGGAACGGTACGTTGAAATTTTGCCGTTTTACCATTACTTCCGCTTACTATTAGAAGGTTTCTGGTTTGTCTGACTTCTAGCCATACTGCAGATATCTATCGATTAGTCATCCATCAGGTTGTTGACAAAAACGCAGCGCGCCAAGCGAAGTTGCCGCTCGGCGGGGCGACCATACGCGACCAAACCGTGAGCAATCTCATGACGACGGGTGTAGTTCAAGAAATACGTGTCGCAACATCGCGCAAAAACTGTGCACTACTTGTTAGTTAGCTTTAAGGCTGCGGGAACGATTGCTGGGGGCGGGCGATTGTCGCCGCGTCATTGGTGGAAGCCCGAAACAGGGCCTTCGGCTAAACTGCCCAACGCGTTGTGAGGGTGTGGCCAAACGCCCTCCACCAACGACGTTGGCAACAATCTTCCGCCTCCAGTAATCGAGCCCACCGCCTTTAAGCAAAACACTAACTTTTCCACGTTCAGGAATGGGGTCTTGGTGCAGATACCGCTCACGTGACCGCATTTACAGCGCCTCTTTCGTTGCCCTAGCCACATCGGCTGTGTGAAATGCACCGTTCGTTTCGCCCACGTCGAGCGGCAAATCTGCGCGGCGCTCTCCGTTGGCCAGCGCTGCACACATTTTTTGAATAGCCTTGTTCTCGTACTACTGAATCTACTTTAGGCTCATCTAATTCTAAAACCAGTAAGTCTCAGGTTTTCACGAGGTCATTACAGAAAGGAGGTTTGCTGGAAACCATGACGAACGCTCTGCGTGGTGCTCGCCTTCCGTTGCCTAGCGCATCATTCTCAGAAGACGGAAAACCAAAACCCCAACCAACCTTTATGGAAACACTTCTAACACAAGGTTACCTGCACAAACTTTTGTTCAGACCCTGGAAAACTGACTACGGGATTTTTCAGCGGCATCCGCCTTGAATCAGTCAATCAAAGAGAAAGACGATAAGGAAAAGCAGTTCCGCATGACAAAGGATAAGGAGCACTCTTTGAAGGTACAACTTTGACCGCATCTCATGACATGACGCCCATGCCCGCTCATAGCGTTCGCAAAAGTGTGTTTTGATCGGGAGAGGGACAAGAACATGTTGAGTACGGCATCACTTGTTAGACTGCGTACATACTACCCGATCTGAGTGAACCAGTCGCGCGACTGCAACTGACAGCGCTCCACCGCTAATGGATAGACCGGTAAAATTGCTGTTTTTATCGCCTGCAGGGTAGAATGTTTCACGACTTTTGCAGCGGTCTCAAATCGCGCGACTGAATCACCCATATAGCGACGTGAACGTAGGCTCGTACCCATCTACGGGCAGTAGTCTGAAGCCTGCATATTTAGGTATTTTACAGAGTAACACTGGAATTATCCTGTCACTCAACTGTTAAACGAGACCCGCATGGAGCGACCGTCGCCGTCTGAACCTCGCGCGGGGGCGACGTGAACACGGTAAAAGTAGTTCTCCCTTCTAGTTTACTTGAAACTTGCCGGAGGAAGAGGGAAAACTGCTGCATTACAGCATCACAATCGCGGCAAAACTTGGATGCGAATCGATGAGCGCTGTGTTCAAGTGGAGTCAGATAGCAGTTCAAGTCATTCGAAAATGTATGTGTTGCACATCGGACCGAGATCGCGGTAGGCCCCTCTATGAAGGTCATATTCAACAACTTTTCAGGGCAAATTCAGTTGCTCTGTATTCTTTACTTAACGGGGTCCGTTCGGAAACAATTATCCCGAAAGTGCCAAAATGCATAGTCGACCCAGGGGGGTTCGAAACGGGATTTGGTTCCAGTGCACTTAATTTTGCTCTGGTGCCGTTTGTCCACTACGCCACCTCCTGCTTTTCTTTGTGAAGGGGGAGGGGGAGGGGACAATTCTTCTTCTTCTTCTTCTTCTTCTTCTTCTTCTTCTTTCTTCTTCTTCTTCTTCTTCTTCTTCTTCTTCTTCTTCTTCTTCTTCTTCTTCTTCTTCTTCTTCTTCTTCTTCTTCTTCTTCTTCTTCTTCTTCTTCTTCTTCTTCTTCTTCTTTCTTCTTCTTCTTTCTTCTTCTTCTTCTTCTTCTTCTTCTTCTTCTTCTTCTTCTTCTTCTTCTTCTTCTTCTTCTTCTTCTTCTTCTTCTTCTTCTTCTTCTTCTTCTTCTTCTTCTTCTTCTTCTTCTTCTTCTTCTTCTTCTTCTTCTTCTTCTTCTTCTTCTTCTTCTTCTTCTTCTTCTTCTTCTTCTTCTTCTTCTTCTTCTTCTTCTTCTTCTTCTTCTTCTTCTTCTTCTTCTTCTTCTTCTTCTTCTTCTTCTTCTTCTTCTTCTTCTTCTTCTTCTTCTTCTTCTTCTTCTTCTTCTTTTCTTCTTCTTCTTCTTCTTCTTCTTCTTCTTCTTCTTCTTCTTCTTCTTCTTCTTCTTCTTCTTCTTCTTCTTCTTCTTCTTCTTCTTCTTCTTCTTCTCCTCCCCCCCCCCTAGCGTTAGTCCCGCGCCGTCGCAGGTCCGCTGTCTTGTTAGACGTCGCCACTTTTTCCGATCCACTGCATCTTCTGCCGTGGCTTTCACTTCAGTGAGGTCCTTCTTGATGACGTCCCTCCATCTTTTCTTTGGGGCTCCTCGTGGTCGCTTGCCCTCTACTTCGAATTCCAATGCCTTCCTTATTGGGTGGTCTTCAGGCCTCCTCAGTACGTGCCCGTACCATCGCAGTCGCTGCTCTCGTGCCTTCAGCTGGATCGGAGCCGTCTGTGTGACCGCCCTGACGTCCTCGTTTCTGACTCTGTCGAGTCGAGGGGGAGGGGGACACGTACGTCGAAAATCTTAGCTTGGAAGCTGCAAGTATCATGTCTAGGGCATAAATAGTTAAGGGAATGGAATCCCTCCTAGGCTAACTAAGTCTTTCATCTTCCGCACGCCGTTAAGATCGGATTCGTGTGGGGAAAATGAAAGCGTGACATTTTCTCCGACTTGCCGCTTTACTTCAGCGTATTACTTCAGCGGATTACTGGCATTAAAGGCATTAAAAACTCTAAGCGATGCCGAGTGGAAGTCAAAGGCACACGTTAGAAGGGAAGTGATCAGAACAGATCGCTACTCAAAAAAAATCGATTGTTATCCTGATTTTATAATGTCTTTTTTATTATTACATGTTTGTTTAATCACCCTATCTCCTCTTCCTGACGCTTTACTTCAGTCATTGGATATCTGTTTTGAACCCATTTCCTTGATTAAAATGCAACTCAAGGTCTTTGGTGAAAGACGACACGAAGGAAGACTCTAAGAAAGAAAAAGAGAGTCGACTACTGGAATGGATTCGTGAGAATCGACCAACAACAACTACAAGTAAACTACCAGAAGTTACGGTATCCGCTGATAAACTACCGTACTACGGGAAATACTGTGGAAGTTTCGCAGAACAGGTGCGTTGTGTGTTTCTTCTTGAAAGATGCTAGTGAATATATTCCTTTGGCTACAATACCAATGAGCTTCTCCTTAAAGCCCGCTTTGTACAGTAATATTTAATTTTTAGCTGGGTGCTACGAAAAAATTCAAGCCATCTGGTGCAGTATGGGTCGTCGACGATAAACGGTTCATCGTCTCAAAGTTCTTCTTCCAGCCAGGCTCTCTTCTATCAGGTGAGGAACGCCAGAAAATTATGCGCATTGTGATAAAGCAGCAATTAGGCTGATCCTTCGCTGCAATTCTGAAGTTTCAATAAGACGGAAGATCAAAATCGAAGAGCCTTGTTTCAGAGAATGTAACATTCTGGTTGGGACCCATGATCTTAAAGCAGAAAACGTTCTTGGACATGTTTTCGCGTCAAGCAAAGGTTTCTAAGCGTTCGTCCTCAGCAGAATTGATGTCTCATTCGCAGCGAGATCATTATCAGTGAGTTCTGCGCAAATGCAGGTAGAATTCTCTCATTATGCGCTACATACGACACTATCCGACTGTATTGTTTTTTATTGTATTTGAGGGAATTGTTTAGCCTTTTCCTGTATTAGCGGTAGTTTAGGGTACATAGTAAGTGGCTGTATTTAGCTCACGGCATTCATTAGTTACTCGATCATTCCAAGTGCTGAGATCTTTCCAGCCAATGGAAGCAAAGGCAAGGAACGGCTTGGCGATTGCTAACCTCTTTCATGCTTAAATCCAATTGAACCAGTTGTGGACAAGGCCAAGAAGTTTGACGACTCATTACGTGCTCGAAGAGATGGTGAGAAAAGTCGATTCCATTGAGTTTTCAAAGCAATTTATGAAGGAAATCCGTCAAGAATCAGTCAACGTGGTTTTGATGGCGTTGGCAGGGGGCTCCGCCGCATTGGTGGCCTCCACTATTACTGTCATAGGTGAAGTAGTCTCCCTTATTACTGGTAGAGAGGTGGATTGGTGCTAATGCAGAAGATCACAGGGATCGGCCGCCCCTATTGAACACTTCTGGATCGTGGGCCTTTTGGAAGCTTTGCCGATGCGTGCGTAGCAAGAGTCCGAAATAATGTGTATGCACCAAGCAATATTATAATCAAGTATACGATCCAGTAAAAATTACTCATATCACAGTTATAGTGACATTAGTATTGTAAAACCGATCCCCACAAACGTCGGACGTGTGAAAAGGCGTGAGCTGAACGCAGCCAAGACAGCTCTTCCGGCCAATTGCTGCGGACTTCGGACGACATTATTGGTGAGAAGGTCGCCTTGGCAGTGCTCCAGTCCACGCCTAGTCACATGTCCTGATGTCTGGCAGAAGTCATTACAAGGAGATAACTTTTCAGTCACTATATCACCGGAAGAAGAGGCACTTTCAACTACGGAGGACAACCAAAACCACGTGGAATTGACGGTGAGGCTCAGACAAAGCTTTATTACAATTTTCGTCTGAAATGGTTGTATACAATACAACGACTTGTTTGAGTTGCGCATCCCCTCTGCAGGAACGTTGCAAAAAGCGCATGTGGCACCACCGCGGCCACAGTACGAAGAATTTACTGACCAAAACCTGCGAAGTTACAATCAATTAATTGATTAATTTGATCTGTTTTGTTAGTGATAATACATATAACGCGCGAGCCCGCTATGAGGCTGGAGGGGGAGAAAGTGGCATTTCATAGGCTCGCATAAACAAGCAGGCCAGTATTGGTAGATCTTCTGAACGCCTGCAAAGATACGATATTGCACCATACTAACTTGTATGCCATTTATTCAGTATTTTTAGATGTTGGACGGCATTTGGGAGAGTCCCGAAGGACGGCTGTTTGAAAATCCGGTTGGAATGGGTCATGTGAATTTGCTATATGCCGCTTTTTCTTGTGTGCCTCCTGTACTTCCTAGAATCAATCTGTGCTTCCTTGAAGCGCGAGGTGTTTCGCAGAGTTTCATCGGTTACGCGACAACTTGTACTTTTGTGCATGGTAGTGTTGCGAAGTACTGCACACATATGTACTGCTAAAAGACAAATACAAAGGCACAAAGACAAGATAATACAGGCGCAACATGTAACAAGCAAATATCCGAGCTTTCTCGAGGAAAGAGGACTGGAGGTAAGAGAGGGGTGGGTGGACCAATTATCATGCGTCAACGTTGGTATCTGTGAACTATTAGTGACCAGAGAACACCGTGCAGACGAGGGGGCGTAGAGAAACACATTTATGCGATTAAAGTATTGAGTTCAAGATGTACGTAGTCCGGTTTCATCGGTCTTGTGCCAAAACTTGTTGGTTAATTTCTTATATATTTTAAGGATGGCGCCATACAGCTGAACGCAACCGGGTCAACTGACGTTTTTCAGAGGTATCAAAGTTGTTTCAATATCATTACAAAGTGGATTCTTCGGCTATGTTGAGAGAGCTTTAGACTAAACCTCATTCGTTGCTGCCAGCTCTTCAAAATTTAGGCTTAATTTTATTCAACAATCTCTCCTGTGGGTATATTTGGTTAAGATACTGTCCAAGTAAAGTTCCACACTCTAAGACGAATACCGTACCCACTGCGGCTTCAAACCGTCTGGCTTCCACGCCTTATGTACGGACACCGCAACTT